CCCCAAACCTGCAGCCCCGGAGCAGCAGCGGCTGCCCTGCACGTCCCAGAGCCAGGTCACAGCGGAGAGGAGCCATCAAGGCACAGGGCAGGGGCAGCATCTGGCATCTCCTGGGCAGGGAGCCGGGGAGGCACAAGGAACAGGGACAGCAATGACTGGGGGTTGTGTAGGAGAGCAAAATGGGGACAGGCTGGGGGCCCACAGCACCAGAGATGCTCACTGCTTGCTCCATCAGCTGCAGGGATGCAGGGCTAGAGCTGAAGGTGAAGCCGAGGGCAGGAGCAATACTGAGGGGATGGCACAGCCTCTGCAGCTCTTCCCCTCCCCAGGTATCTGCAGTCTTTCACCTGATCTCAAGCGTGAAAAATGAAAGTTTGTTTTCCCCCACCCTCGGTGAAGGAGAGGCTCCTGTGTTCTGGTGGGGCCAGAGTGAGATGGAAGAGGGAAAGGGGCCACGGCTCTTGGTCAGCTAAGATCACCATCCCTGCTGCGTCTTGCACAACCTCTCTTGGAGCAAGAGAGCTGGCAGCGAAGGCACAGCTAGCACCTGATGCAGAAATCCAGCGCAAAGCTGCCTGTCCAGGCTGCAAGGGACCTCCCTCACCCACTACCCAGCCTTGCCCCATGCTGTTCTGGGCACCATGCAACTCCCATTTCCCAGTGAGGAGAAGCAAGGCACGGGGAGACAGCCCCAGCCCCTGATGCAGACCACGAAGCCCCAGCTGCCCTGCGAGCTCAGACAAGGAAAGCTGGGGTTGAGCAGGGCAGGGCCCCTCGGAGCCTGCCTGGATGCTTGGCTCAGAGCCACCCCCTCCCAAACACAGCATGGCTCCCCAGCACCCAGCCCCTGCCTGTTTGCACAGCTCCCAGGGAAGGGACATCAGCCACAAGCAACCTTGAGCATCCCTGAATCCCCTCTTGCAGGGATCAAGCTCCCACAGCGGTGCACCCACCACTCCCTCCCCTCCCCTGCTGTGCTGCTTCGAGCTACCCCTCCCCAGTCCCCCGCCAGCAGCACACCCGAGCCAGGGGATCAGAAAGAGCCACCGAGTGCATTTTAAATAAAAGATTGCATCTTTCAGAGCTATTGGAGTGATGATTTAAACATGAAGTCAAAGCCAGTAATGGTGTCAGAGCTGTAGCGGTAACTCCAATCAATAATTCACTGATAGGCAGTAACTGTGTCTCCAGCCAGACCTACCTGCGATGGGCAGGGTGCTTCCCCCCTGGGGTGGGAGGTACATCCCCTTGCCTTGCTGCAACCTCCTTTCTCCCTGCCAGCATCACCCACCCTGGCAGCAGACGTTTGGCCCCCACCAGGGCCAGGAAAGACCCAGGGACCAGACCCAGAGCCCCACAGGAGGAGGATGCTGCCTGGCTCTGGGGAACGGAAGGTGTAACAAATTTGTTACCTGGGGATGTTCAAAACACTGGAAACGCCTTGGCTTGTTGGTGATCGCAGCCCAAGCCTTCCTCTCGGCTCCTGCGCCCTTGGGGAGAGCCCAAACCAGCCCCAGGAAGTCCCAGCTCTCCCTGCGGAGCTTAAAAGCCCTGCCAAGGGACACCTGCGTGACCCCCCACCCCAGCCCCATCAGCACAGCTGAGCCGCCCACCTACGCCGGGGGTGCCGGGGGTACCGGGGGCTCAGGGCTGCCGTGCATGGCGGCACTC